CCTCTGCCCTAATTCACAAGGCGATGGTAGGTTAATTCCTACCATCTGATTCCTTCCAGATATAGGCCAAAGTGCCTATATTGCAGAATGGTCTAGTGGTTACAACACAGGCCTGGGGGGCAGGAGAGCCAGGTTCCACTCCTGCTCTGGGGCTGATGGGCTGCATGACCTTGGGTGAGCCTCTCCCCTACCCCTGCCTCAGTTTCCCCAACAGGACATCAGGGATGATGACTCCCACGTCCTACTCTCAGGGGAAGTGTTCATCAGTGTGTGGAGTGTGGTATGGGGCAGAAGGGCTTGCTAGCAAGAGCCCTGAGCCCAGTCAGCCAACTCCCCCCATCCAACTCCTCCCCGCCAACCCACCACCATCACCATCTTCAATTTCAGTCTCCTGCCCGGACAGGAAGCAGGAGGAGAGAGAGGAGATTGCCTGCAACCAGTCTGACCTGGAGGGATTTGATCTCTCTGCGGGGTGGGGGTATCTGCCCCCATTACCCAGCCTGCCCCGGGGGGTGGAAGGGGGCTGATCTTTCTGCAGGGGGGTGGGTCTGTCCCCATTACCCAGCCTGCCCCGAGGGGAGCTGATCTCTCTGCGGTAGGGGGGTGTCTGTCCCCATTACCCAGGGTGCCCCGGGGGGGCTGATCTCTCTGCAAGGGGGTCTGCCCCATTACCCAGTGTGCCCCGGGGGGGCTGATCTCTCTGCAGGGGGGGGTCTGTTCCCTTTACCCAGAGTGCCCCAAGGGGGGGGCTGATCTCTTGTGATGGGGGGTGTCTGTCCCCATTACCCAGCGTGCCCCAGGGGGGCTGATCTCTCTGCGGATGGGGGGTGTCTGTCCCCATTATGGTGATCAGATGTCCCAATTTTATAGGGTCAGTCCCGATTTTGGGGGCTTTTTCTTATATAGGCACGTATTACCCCCACCCCTGTCCAGATTTTTCACACGTGCCCTCTGGTCACCCTAGTCCCCATTACCCAGTGTGCCCCGGGGGGGGCTGATCTCTCTGCGGGGGGGTGGGGTGTCTGTCCCCATTACCCAGGCTGACCCTGCGGGGTGAGCCGAGACCCCTCCCACTCCCCTCACGTTGCCCCCCTTTACCCAGCGTGCCCCGGGGGGGCTGATCTCTCTGCAGGGGGGTCTGTCCCCATTACCCAGCGTGCCCCGGGGGGGTGTGATCTCTGGGGTCTGTCCCCATTACCCAGGCTGACCCTGCGGGGTGAGCCGAGACCCCTCCCACTCACCTCAGTTGCCCCCCTTTACCCAGCGTGCCCCGGGATCCCGTCCCCCACGGCAGCCAGGGCCCGGCTCTTACCCTCCCCCACCAGGAGGATGCGCACGTCTCGCTTCATCGCCGCTGCCGCCTCTCCCGCGCCGGGGGTGCCAGGCCGCGGCGCTTCCCCCTCCCCCCTCAGCCTGCCGCCCTCCCGAGTCCCGCCCCCACTTCCGGCCTCACCGCAGAGCACGTGGGCCGGGGACGTGGGGCACGAGCGTCGCTCGCCGAACCACTGTGGGGGCCGGGACCGGCAGCGCCGCCGTGCGGCCAGTCGGGGCACTGCAGCACCTACCCGCCCGGCGCACAGCGAGGGACCGGCTGGGGGAGGCTGCCCCTCCCTCCCGGGCTGGGGAGAGATCGGGGCTTGGCTTATCTAGGACCCGATCCCGGCTTCCACTGAAGTCAGTGGGCGGTGGGAGAAGGGTACCATGGGGCAGGGCGCCCGCTTCTCAGACAGGCTCGGGGTGGGAGGTGGTGACACCCGAGTCAGCACCCAGGGGGAACTGGGGGAAGGGCCCCCTGGTTAATTACAACCAGCCATCACCTGGGTTGGTGCATTTAGGGCACAGCGGGTCTGTCTGCACCACAAGGGAAGGCCCGGGTAGGAGAACTGCAGTTAGCAGACCCTGGCTTGAGCATCTACATGCAACCCCCGGTTAGGAAGTGTTGAACCCTGGGCAGGGCCGGCTCCAGGGTTTGGCCGCCCCAAGCAGCCAAACAAACAAACAAACAAAAAGCCACGATCGCGATCTGCGGCGGCAATTTGACGGGAGGTCATTTGCTCTGAGCAGGAGTGAGGGACCGTCCGCCGAATTGCCGCCGAACAGCTGGACGTGCCGCCCCTCTCTGAAGTGGCCGCCCCAAGCACCTACTTGGTAAGCTGGTGTCTGGAGCCGGCCCTGACCCTGGGTCCCAACCTGGGCCCCAGTCCAGCCACCAGACCCCAGAGTTCCTAGCGCCCTCCCAAAATGTGGTTACTCTAGCCCCTTGTTCAGGATGCACTGTCGAAAATTTGACGGCTACCTGCCCACCCAACTTGGTTGTCCCGAGACAAAGTCAGCCTGTGGGATCCTGGGGGTGGATTCCCAGAGCACAAGTCCACTGGGGCTGCATTTACACTGCCAAACAGTAGGACCTGAACTTGAACCCTGGCCTTGACTCAGGCTCAGACCCTCCACCCCCTGGGCTCTGGACCTTGGGTTAGCACGATTTGTGTGCAGGTGGAAGGTTAGGCTTGAGCCTGAGTTCGAACCCTGGGCAACACAACCACCTCTTTCATACACAACCTGGTCCACAAAGCATGCTTCTGTCCTAGCCCCTAGATCAGGGATGGGCAAATATTTTGGCCCGAGGGCCACGTGGGGGAATAGAAATTGTATGGCAGGCCATGAATGCTCACAAAATTGGGGTTGGGGTGCAGGAGGGGGTGCGGACTCTGGGGTTTGGAGAGCGGGAGGGGTATCAGGACTGGAGCAGGGTGTTGGGGTGTGGGGAGAGGCTCAAGGGGTGCAGGCTCCAAGCAGCACTTACCTCAAGCAGCTCCCAGAAGCAGTATCATGTCCATTCTCCGGCTCCTACGTGGAGGCGCAGCCAGGCGGCTCTGCACGCTGCCCCATCTGCAGACATCGTCCCTGCAGCTCCCATTAGTGTGCATAGGAGACGGAGCGGGACCATGCCACGGCTTCCGGGAGCCGCGTAATGCAGCCCTGACCAGAGCAGCGGAGCAGGGCTGAGCCATCTGGTGCGGCCCCCAACCCAGCAGTCCGGCTGGAGCAGGGCCGAGCCACGTGGTGCGGCTCGCGGGCCGGCTTAAAATGGCCGGCGGGCCAGATCCAGCCCATGGGCCAAAGTTTGCCCTCCCCTGCCCTAGATACAGCTCTCAGTAGACAATGCTCTGTCCTGATCCAAAACGCTTGGGTTGGGTGCAGATAACAGGAATCTCAGGTTCCTGCATGCAAGGGTTTCCTGCATGCAGAGAGGGATGGCACATTGCAAACTAAAACATCCTGATGCTGCAGTCAACCACTCAGTGCATATTGGGACCAATGCAAATTAAGAACAACTCTCAGAACCCTGGGATGTTGCCAATGCAATCCTCTCAGTGTTGCACAGTTGCTAAAATTTGAGCCCGTTTTGCAGTCACAAACTGATGAACTCCACCATCCCATACACCCCAACCCCATCACTACCTACTTGTCCCACATGCCTGTTTTGTAGTGTTTGCAGTCCAACCTAATGGAAAACTGCAGAAAGGAGTACACACCCACAATTGGTTTAACTACTTTAGAATTTCTGCTGTTAAAACATGCAGCACCTACACACGCAGACCAGAGTGGCACTCTCTCAAAGAGATAATGCAGGTTTTCCTGGTAGGGCAACTTGGCCCCTTAGAATAGTTGCTTGGTTTTAACACCATATTTCCTTTGCCAGTACACATACTCCTGATCCATCAGCTCATGACGGTGTCAGCAGATTGTCCCTTCTCGTTGCCAGGTTATAGCAAAGCTATGGTTGCCACTGGTTCAGGTATGTAAGATTTGCCATGCTGCAACAAACCAGCAGTTCTTCTATTTGAACATCCCACCTCTGACAGCATCCAGTGATGGGTATGAACTCCACATTCACCCACTAAATACACTCCTCAGATCTGGCAGGTGGCAGGGGTGCTCTTGATCACAGCTATTGATCAACATGCAGCCTAAAACATTAAGCTTGATTGATTAAGATTAGGTGCCAAGACATACATGCTATGTCAGAAGACAGCCTTCTAGTTTCCGACCCGACATCCCAAAGCAGGACAGTAGCTCCTCCCCTGAAACCAAGCAGGTTCATCATATAACTGGAGTTTCAGACAGGCACCATTTGTCTTAGAAGTGCCTTCATGTGCTCATCATGCCACTTTCTCCCTCCTAGCAGGTGCTCCCGCTGCCTCTCTAAAACTCCCTGTTTCCAGAATGGCACTGTAGAAGTTTGAAGCCGGGACTATTTTTTATCATGGATGTATGGTTTGTAGCATACATACAAGATGATCTCCTCAAACACTGCAACACCAATATCACTGATCCAATAATGATCCAGGAGGTCCAATTGTGTATCTATTCCATGCTCAGAACTCCCTTTGCCTTCAGAGCTGCATTGCAGAATCTGGCCCAAGGGAGTAATGCAGAGAAGAGCACAGTGGACCACTAAAGAGGAACACTCCCAAAGCAGAGTATTACTGTCTAGTGTTCTTAACACTCCTCAGTCACCTCTTGTATGATTTAAAAACAGCTCAGCCAGCTAAACACGCCTTGCACCAAAGCAGGAGCCTTTGGGCCACATTCTGATCTCAGTTACACCAGTGTAACTCCAGAGACAATAAAGTTACTCTGTATTAACTCTGGTGAAACAGAGCAGCATTGGAATGCAGAATTATAGCTCATTCAGCTAATTTCTTCAAGTGACACACTTATGCCTCCTGTCAATACACAGAGCAACAGAATTTAGACTTAATATCCAAGACTGCAGCTGCAAAGGAGCAGTGAGAGAGAATGACAGAGGCTCTACTTCATTAGATTTGAATCCGGGAAAGGGTCCTCTCTAGTTCAGTTCCGCGCTGTGGTGTGAAAGGCGTATCTGCAGGCAGACTGAACGGGCACCTTTTTGGAACAAGTTCTACATTGTCACACGCCGATCACACTAGAAATGCTACTGACAATTAAAGAAACTAGAGTGAACCAACCAGACAGAAAATCAACCCAACACTTTTATTTAAGAACTATACAGCTTATAAAAACCAATACAAAAACTCTTCCCAATAAAAATCGATGCTATGTTACATACAAAATGACACTCGGAGCCATTGGGTCCTGATAATTTACAAATAAAAATGCCATGTGTCTGCATCAGGTGGGGCACGCCAGACTCCCGCCCACAGAGCCTAGGAATGAAAACCCTGAAGGGGCATGAAAACAGAAACAGGTCAAGGTACAGCCATGTCTTTGGCAAGCATGTGGGATGTTTTCTTTTGCAAAGAATGTTAGTGTGAGTGAAAGACGCTGGCTTGACAGCCCTGGAGATTGTCCTCCATTTAACCACAGAACACAGCACAGACAGTGGCAGAAAAAACTTCCCTTCCCTGACACTGCAGTGTTCCTTAGTCCTGACCTGGTGGACCACTCCTAGTGGGGGAGAGAGGAATCCAGTCTTCTTGCCCCATTCAATTCTCAGCCTCTGCTTAGACTGCTAAGAAGGTACCAACTGTGAGAGTGCCCTTTCTGATTCGGATACTGTCCACTAAGACCCCAAATTCATTTCACATCCTGTAAGTCAGGTTGCGTGTTAAAGCAGAATTAGATTTATGATTAAATACCAGCCAACCCCAATTTCTGGTTAGTTTGGGTGCTGTGCCTTGTGAACTGGAACACAATGGCTGGTAGAGACTCTGAAAGGGGATTACTACCCAGCAGTGATTGAGGATTGCAAGGGTCTGGTTCAGATTTATTCAGTTGCTAATAGCCCGAGACAGATGGAAACATTTCTCTTCTCACATTATCTTCCTCGATTCATGCCGGAGTAAAACAGTTGTTTAGAAAACCTCTCTCAACTCTGGTAGGAGCCAAGCTGGCTCAGTTCATGTGCTCGTTATCTCCCACACCAGGATTTCATTGTAGGAAGCCGTGAAGAGGCGTTTACCCGAAGGAGTGAATCTGCAGAGGTGAACGGAGTCATCGTGCCCCACGAAGTCTTGCTCTGTTCTCGTCGTGCAGTCAATCAGCCTCAGTACACGCTCTGTGGAGCAAACACAGCCACATACCAGACTCAGAAACTGACCCACTCCCTTTGGCACATAGAAAAGCCAACACTCTTGGGATGCTACTTGGTATATCAAAGTCCCCTTGCAGCCCTCTCCAGTTTTAGAAGTAAAGTACATTCCGTTTTGTGAAGGGCATGACAGCAATGGAGAGCAAATATCTCTATCCGCAGAACAGACACAGAAGTGGGGCAACCTCTCTTACAACGATCCCCTGCTTCTGGTCACATGTCTCGTCTAGGAGTGAGAGGGGCCACCTCTAAGGATAATTCAGTCTCCATGTTTATTCATTAGAGACTGGCATCCTCGCTGGCAACTAGAGCCAACCGCAACTATGGTTTTTGCGTGCGTGCTCCTGTCTGAGAGGAACTGAAATGACACAGCTTTTCTCTCCCACAAACCACCCTGCTCCTTTCACTGGGGTCAAACATACAACAGACAATAACAACTTTAGGTCACTGCTGATCTGGCCAGGATTGGAATCGGTCACCTTGATGGGAAAGGGAAAGAGATTATTTCACAGTTCCATGGACCAATCTCCCCTCTTGTGAGGACTCAGGGTTCAAGAACTGCAGAGCTGAGTCACTTTCCCTGTGCCCATGGATGTGCATAAAGACACACAGATGGGTGCCTCTCGTTCCCTAGCTCTGCACTAGAAACAGCAATGCTGGTGGGATGGGGGAGCTAGCGGGATTAAGAGTTGAAGGCAGTTTCTTTGTGCCCGAGGTCCTCTGATAAAGCAAAAGCTCCCACCCTCGTCTGTTTTATTCTGTTTAGCTGTTTACTGATAATTACCATCTTGCCCTGAGTTTGTAGGGAAACCTTCCCCCACACACTGAAACTGCTACTTGATTAGCTGAGAGATGTGGAAGGGTTGCTAACAGAAGCAAGCAGGCAATTAGTGGCTGGTAATCAGTATGAGGAGGTGTACACCGACAATAGCAGTGCCATGCTGTGTGTCAGACTGTCAGGCCACAGAACAGACGCTGCAGAACGTGCACGTAGAGATACTGCGTCATTTAGAGCTTTCCTGGCAAACTTATAGACAAGGAGACAATTTAATGAAGCGTTCTCAAAGAGGAGGAGGACACAGCTACATCCATTTTAAAGCCAGAAGGGACCAATATGCTCATCTAGCCCAACCTCCTGCATTATATGGGGCAGAAAACCTCAGCCAGTGATTCCTGCCTCCAGCTCGTAACTTCTGTTTGAGCTAGAGCAGCGGTTCTCAAACTGTGGGTCGGGACCCCAAAGTGGGTCACGACGCCATTTTAATGGGTTGCCAGGACTGGCTTAGACTTGCTGAAGCCCGAGTCCCACCACCTGGGGCTGAAGCTGAAGCCTGTGGGCTTCAGCCCTGGGCATAGGGGCTTAGGTTACAGGCCCCCTGGCTGGGGCTGCAGCGCTTTGGCTTTGGGCCGTAGGGCTCATGCTTGGGCTTTGGCCCCCCCACCTGGGGTGGTAGGGCTCAGGCATGGGTCCCCTCCTTGGGTCATGTAGTAATTTTTGTTGTCAGAAGGGGGTTGCGGTGCAATGAAGTTGGAGAACCTGAGCTAGAGCATCTGTTTCACAAAGACACCCAGTCTTGATTTAGAGAGATGGAAAATCCACCACATCCCTCGGCAAGTTTTTCCAGTGGTTAATTACCTGCATGTAAACAAAATGGTGCCTTATTTCTAGTCTGAATTTGTCTAACTTCAGCTTTCAACCATGGGATCTCATGATGCCTTTTTCTGCCAGATTAAAGCACATCCTGCTCATGGAGATGGAGGAAACTCCCTGCATCCCACAGGCAGTACCTCCACATAAAGAAGGGCTGTTTTTTTGGTTGCTAACAAAGAAGAAAGACTTGGCTGTTCATGCAGAGATGGGGAATGGGAGACAACCCCAGAATCACAGGTGAACTGTTGTTCCTGGTGCAGCCACCACTAGCAGTATGCCAGGAAGAAGGGGATCCATGTGTGGCAGTGTTTGACTTGAGCATGTCCTCTGGACACTTACCATTGAAGCCCACAGCCAGGAAGTGCGCTGCTGGAGACAGGCTCAGCGACGTGGCAAAGTGAGACAAGGGGATCTTCTCGACTACCTGCATGAAAGCAAGAGAAACATTGACACCAGCTCCTCGAAATTAATGTGCGACAGAATAGAGCCGTTAACTGACACTCTGCTGGAGGCCAGCTGACAGACGGTCACCAGCATTGACAGCTGCACAGCCCCTCTGATCTCAGGAAGCTGCCAAGCTCTTCATTTCCAGAGCAGTCTTAAGAGTTTTAAGCTTGTCTCTTTCACTGACAGAAACTGGTCCAATAAAAGAGGTTCTCTCTGAGAATATTAATGTTCACGAAAGCAAAAACCAGAGCAGTGGCAGCAGCCAGGTGCTTTGCAAGCTTCACGCATGCAGCTCTACCTTGAGCCTCAGCACCTGGTGACCCATGTCAGACTTAAAGAGGTTTGTGGGAGTGAAAAGCTGTACCATTAACTGTCTGTTAGGTTGAATCTACCATCCCCAACCTCACCACACACCTGCATCGTGTTTCATTCTATTTCAACTGCTTGACTGCTGGCCCACATCAGTTACACTGGTGCTGCTCTGTATATCGGGGTGCCACAGAGAATACCGACACTCCAGCATCATGGCTATCTTTCACTGCAGCATTCCCATGCCACATCTGTTTGGCCTTTAAGTTTCCAAAGCCACGGCAGAGGAGCACCACATTATCCTCTATATTATTTTTGTTGTGTGTCACTCACCATGAGCTAAAGCTGGACTCAGTGACCAGGGTGAACGCCACAGTTTTCCAATATCAGCACAGAGGAGTTCATAGCAATTTGTAACTCCTCTCGTGAACCTGCCCCCATTGAGGATGGCAGGTTGGAGAGGGAAGACACAGCGTACCTGTTTCTGGCGCAAGCTGTAAAAGAGGATCTCCTTCTGCATCCCAAAGCCTACGTACACCAAAGTACCATTGTCCCAAGGACAGAAAGCCGCCAGGCTAGGAGGGAGACTGCTAGGGGCCTAGGAAGAGAAACAAAAAAGGAGCAGAATTAGCGCTAACTTCTCCACACTTATTTCAGCAAGGCCAGGCATGCTGGGAAAAAGAAAGGAGAGTGGTTAGGTGTGTCAGCATTTCCTCTTTGGAGCCGTCAGCAGCAGAAGCTTGTGACCCACTGCACTATGCAGTTAATATTGAGGAGGAACTTTCCCCTGTTCTTATGCTGCACTCCAACACAGATATGCTCACTGCTAACGAATGAAGAACAAATGTATATCGACCTGGGCACGTAACATGAGTCTCCGCTGTATGCTGTGGTAGGATCATATGACATAAGCAGGATTTAACATACTAAATACCACCCAGCATCATTTACACTGTTAGGAGCAAATATTGGAGTAAGTCATGGATATGATGGGGTTGTTAATTACTCAGGGAGTGAAAATAGTTTCAAAAAGATCAAATCCCTGGTACTGGATGCCAATATAATTGAAACAATAAAACTCATTCCAATTCATTGTGGTGAGAACTCAGCTGGACAGCCCGTTGCCTGCACAATGAGCGCGACTACCTCTAACATTTGAGGACAAATAGAAAAAACTTCAAATGGCGTCACCGGGCTTATTGCTGAATCTGCCAATGCAGTATCTAAGACTGATTAAGCTTAAGGTTGATAATCTGATGAGCCACTGCTTCACATCAGAAGAGTGACCTACCACTTCCATTCTGCCACACACCACTCCACTTCCTGTGCAGTAAGGATCCTCCTCTTCCCCCAAACCCACTTCTTACATCAATCTCCTCACTGTCTCATGTCTCAACTGTTGTCCTAGGTCTTGTATCTAATTTGGGGCAGAGGTTCTGGTCAGGGACCCTGCCTAAGTGTTCTGTGAAGTGCCATACACTTAGGATGTTCCATGCGTAATTCCTGATCTAGTAGGCTGTAGTAACCCATGTAACCATGAGCCTACTAGATCAGAACATTAATGCTATTTCTGAGCAGCCAAGTTAGTTTGCTCTTTGTATACCAACCTTGCTGACTCCTGGTTCGTATGCTCAAAAAAATCCTGTCCCTGTGTTTTGTATAGCACAGAGATACTAACTGTTTGCAAATTTAATTTTTTGACTTGAAATGCTTACAAAGCAAATACCCTCTCAGGAATTATGCAGTGCTGCATTCACATTGCAAATCTACATCATAAAGGAAGATTCAAAACCACACACTGTTCTGTTTATATACACACAACTTGGTTGTTAACAGTTCCTAGGTAAACCTTTTGCAAGCAGAAATAGGTAATAGTGCACGGGTGTTGGAGGGATCTGCTCTACTCCTGGCTTTGGCAGTAATGCTGAATGTACATATTATATAGTCAGCAAGGTTTAATCTTACCTCCGGGCTTGCAGGAGCTGGGAAGCTTAGCCAATCGATGAGCTCACATTTATCCTTCTGCCAGGCAGAGACCCAGACACTGACACGTCGATCTGAACTTGCAGCCAACCAGAGTTCACCACCTTCAACGCCAAAGTCTTGGTACTACAGAATATAAAAGCACAGTTATGATTGTACTGACATAAAGCAATAATACAGCAGGGCTTTCAAATAAAGCTGAACACTAATAGACTGTCACAGTGCAAAAGCTTATCTACACTAAAATCTTAGAGAGCGGGGGATTAATGACAGAGGATTAATGCATAAGATTTTCCCATCTGGAGAATAGTACTTAAGTCTATTTTATCACAAGTGAAACAGGCTTAGTGCCTCAGACTGGCACTCACTAGATGTCCATACCCATCAAAACAACACAGCAGTTTGTGGCATAATTTTCTCTAAGCTCAGGGTTGAAGGAACAGGGTTACTTCAGATTGTTCGTTGGCAGAGAGTATGTAGCAAGCGATTGTAGCTTCTAACTTCACTGTGCTGGCTCTAGCCAGCACTATCATGGTCTCCTTTATAAAAAAGCACCACATTCCCTCTCCCACTCCATCAGCACAGTTAGTGGTGGATACTTCCTGGTCTTGCAGAAGAACTCCTCAAGTTCTTTGGAGTTTCAAGTGCTACTTTTGGTAGTAAGGGAAAAGCAGCAGCTGATTAGACATTCAGCTCTCCTGGGTGGTGGGGAAGCTGAGGACCCATCCAATCTGCGTGCATCATACTATTACTGCACCCTATCGTACTTGACTTTACTCTATTGAAGATACTCCTAAACCAGAGGTGGGCCTGTCAGGTGGTGGGGGTGTGGATAGGGGGCGGGGCAGTTAGGGGACAAGGAGCAGGGGGGGGGTTGGATGGGTCGGGAGTTCTAAGGGGGGCAGTCAGGGGGCAAGAAGTGGGAGGGGGCAGATGGGGAAGGGGGCTAGGCTGTTTGGGGAGGCACAGCCTTCCCTACCCAGCACTCCATACAGTTTCAGAACCGCAAAGTGGCCCTCAGGCCAAAAAGTTTGCCCACCCCGTCCCAAACAAACCAAACAAGATTCTGTGGAGGTGGCATAGGCTAGAGAAGGAAATCGTGTAGCGGAACAGTAAATGAAGCAGCTCAGTAATTAATCTGTCCCCATATCTGCAGCTTTCTATGGCTGTGGAGTAACAGTACAATGGACACTGTGCTCTAGTGTAAGAGTGCCACAGCAGCTGGACTCAGGCCTCACCCGTTTCCTTGTGCACTGGATGACAGTGATGGGGGATCCTTTATGGTCAATGAGCACACGGATGGTCATTCCAGTCCGAGGGCTACTGACAGCCATTAGCCCATCCTTGCCTCCAGACAAGATGATTTCTCCTGCAGATAGGGGAGAGGAGAGAGCTAATCAACTTCCTGCAGATGGAGAAAAGGCCAAAAGGGGAAGCCTGCAGGTATGCCTGACTCAAGCTTTCCGAGCGCATGCTGGACTGGAACAATCTAGTCCTGGGGGTGAGAGAGGAGAGGTGAGATGAGAGGACACTGGAACATTTACTTCAGTTTAAAACACTGCTTCAGAAAAATAGCTAGCATGAGTTTTGAGCAGAAGAAAGCTTCATTATGTGCCAAGTCCCTGAGCTGTACCAAAGCTACTGTCCAACGGCATATCCAGGATGACATGGTGCCAGATATGCAGCTGGTGTGAGTTTCATTGACTTCAATTCTCCATCTTAGAATCTGGCCCGGGACCTTGCGAGGGTCATCAGTATTTGAAGTGGCTGGAGGTTAGAGCTGTCTCCTCCGAACACAGAGAAATGGAGCTGCAAGACCAAACTATGCTCCTTGAAGCAGCACCAATGGATTGATTATGGAAAGCAGCATGTGATCTCACCATCTGCAGAGTAGGCAATTGCAGTCAGCGCAACGGAGTGTGGGTGCATTTTCAGTTCCATCTCTGTCCTTGAAATGCTGAACACCCGGATGGTGCCATCGCTGTACCCTGCCACAACATGCTGACCCTCAGCCCCACCGTGGGAGATGGGGATAGGGCTCCAGGCCAGACACTGGCAGCTCTGTAAAGGAACAAGATTAGAGACATGGGAAGAAGGAGCAGTATGTTCCAAGGAGATGCATGCAGGTTACTTCTCCACTCACACACAATGAAGACATGTGAATGCCACTAATCTACAAAGATTTCATATCTAAAACCTTCAGTTACAAATATTTCTCCCAACTCTGGTTCATTCAGTGAGGACAAAGAGATCCCATCCACAACAGGCAGTGGCTGCTATCAAGACAATATAGGACATTGACACACTCCAAATGATTACCTGATTCAGCACTTGAAACTGTACCACCAGCTCCATGCTGGCCAGAGCCCAAACCCTCACACTGCCGTCCTCCCCACACGTGGCACAGTGAGACTCACCAGGGCTGAAGGTCACTTCATTCACCTGCAGCAACAAAGGGGACTGACAGTCCACAAATGCCAAAGCAAGTTGCACATCGGCCCCTATTTCTTACCCATAGCTTCCCCTGCCCCCACCAAATTCTCCTCTGGTAGGAGACAGCACACAAGAAAGGAAAGGAAGATTTTGTAAAGGACGCCGGGGGATGGTGGTAATTAAAATTAGTGAGGGCTATAGTGGAAATTTAGAACCATAATTGCAAAGTTCTGACTGGTTGCTCCATAATGAAGGTCTTAGAAGGGAAGTCTCCATATCTCATTACCAATCTAGATACCCTCTCTTCCAGCAGGCACAAATGTAGTGCAATGTAGCATCAAGACTGACACCCTTCAGACACATTTTCCAGTATTCTGAACAGAAGACCACTTTATCCATTTGAGAAGTCTAGCTAATAAGTAACACTGCACTTCTAGAGTGCCTTTCATCCAACGTCCCAATGTTCTACATAAATTAAGCCCCAATGATTCTGTGAGATGCCTCAGGATTTCCCCCTTTTACTACAAGAGATAGACACAGAGCAGTTAACTGACTTGACCAAGGCCATACAGGATGTCTGCGGCAAAACAGAAAAGAGAATTCAGATTTCCTGGCTTTCAAGTCCTCTGCTTTAGCCACAAGACCATCTTTCTCTCTTGGAAGAGATAATATTACCTAGCTCTTCTATAGCACTTTTCATCCATAGATCTCACAGTGCTTTATAAAGGAGGTCAGTATCATCATCCCCATTTTACAGATGGGGAACTGAGGCACAGAAGTGAAGTGACTTGCTCAGCAGGCCAGTGGCAGAGCCTGGAATAGTCTCTCAAGTCACAGTGCAGTGCTCTATTCACTAGGCCACACTGCCTAGTTTGCAGTGAAAGCTCTTTCACCAGTGCCCTACCAGTATTAGTCAAGGCTCCAGCAGTGCGATTTCTCTCAGTAGGGCCTACCCAGCCCTTCTGCAGTGTGAGCATCCTCAAAGTGCGTTGCACCTCAGGCTCAGGTGGCACTTGGAACACGTGCTTCCTTACAGCACAGGAACTCCCGTCCAATCCCTCTCACCTTGTTCTTATGTCCGCTGATTAGTCGGATGCTGGTGCTCTCTGCCCAATTTATGTACCACAGTGTTCCTGCAGTGGTGCCCACGATTCCCATATCCAGAGAGTCATCAAAGGTTGCACCAACTATTGTCCCATCCAGGGTCATCTCGTGTTCCAAAAGGACTGAGCTAGACCTGGGGGAAAGTGGAGTCCAGAGTGGAATATACAAAATAACTAGCTACGTCCTTAAGCTGCTAGAAGACAACCATTAACCCACCTTCATGGGAAAACTGTCTGGGACTGCCGTAAGGACAACATGGTTATCTTTAACTACATAGATACTACAGTGATGGGCTCATCAGAACTGCAGCTAGCGACTACCTTTAACCATACAGAGTAACCATCTTTCTGGGGGAAATAGGAAAGAAGTTCTAAAAGGATTATTTTGATCATCCACTGTGCCTCCTTAATTTGATCCAATATATTTCACAGGTAAAAAATAAAAATGTTAGAAAAAGAGAAGAGTTGACACATACAAAGATATTTATCAAATACTTGTGCTGTAAAAGGCTTAGCTGTCTAAATCAGGGGTCTCAAACTCAAATGACCATGAGGGCCACATGAAGACTAGTACATTGGCCCGAGGGCCGCCTTACTGACTCCTCCCCCCCGCTGCCCTCAGCCCCGTCCCCACTCCACCCCTTCCATGAGGCCCCGCTCCCATTCCAACCCCTTCCCCGAAATCCCCACCCCAACTCTGCTCCCTTCCTGTTCCCAGGGAAGCAGGAGGGGTGTAGGGTGTGGCGGGGGCTCAGGGCAGGGGGTTCGGCTGCAGGAGAGGTTCAGGGGGCGGGCTCCAGCCCGACGTGCACCGGGGCAGGGCAGGCTCCCTGCCTGCCTGTGTCCACACTGCTCCAGGAAGTGGCCGGAACTTGGGGGAGGAGGGGCACAGGGGTCTGTGTGTTGCTGTTGCTTCAGGCACCACCCCTAGCAGCTCCTGTTGGCTGGGAATGGGGAACCGTGGCCAATGGGAGCTGCTGGGGGCGCTGCCTGAAGCAACAGCAACACACAGCCCTCTTTGCCCCCCTTCCCCATGTTCCAGCCGCTTCCCAGAGTGGCGCGGGGGCAGGGCAGGCAGGGAGCCTCCCGGGCTGGAGCCGCTCTAGGTAAACGCTGGGAGTGGGGGGGCCACAAGGAGTTTGCGGGCCGCAGAAAACAACCCCGTGGGCCGC